GTCGAGCAACAACAATAATATTTTCTAAAACACACGAAAACGAATAAATCACTTTCAAAACTGCATATTTTTTTTTGCTCCATGGTGTCAAGTCAGTCTCTCCTTTTCATTCTGTAAAGAGAACGACAGGGATGCACTGTTGATTAATTTAATTTTAGGGTTTAGAGAAACACTCGAATAATGACATCTATAATGATGTGATGAGATGAGATGACATTTATTTTTAGTATGCTACAGATCGTCAAAACTTAAAATGCAAGGTGGGCCGATATATGTGCCCGGAAGTATATATTGTACTTCACATTGACGGGTACGTTTCCCTTGTAACGGGGATTATTAGGGTAAAATTTGGATCAACGTTTTGTTAATAACCAATTAAAATTACGCCTCCATAAGTCATCCATTGTTATCCTACATGATATAACAAAAGTAACTCCAGTTTATATGAGGTGGACGCCCTGCTACGATATTAAATGATAACAGTAATGAGTACAAAACTTTTATAAATACATCGCCTTCGGGCTCTGGTGGCTATTAACCCGGCGTTCGCACAGTTGGGTCTATTTGACCCGAGCAATTTTCAAATGAGCTTGTTTCTTAAAATGTTTGTGCGACGTTGCCAAACTTCTCAGTAGCTGGAGCTAATGGTACCCCCTTCGCGCGGGATATCGCCATTCAGTCGTGTTGCGGCCTCAGCGGGTGATAGACACAGCTAAACGCGAAAAGGGTAAATATGACCCAACCATACTATTAGTGTCGTAATTTTGCGCCGTTAAAAAAATTTTTTTGTTGTTTTATATTGTTTATTTTGTTATTTTTAGCATGCTAAAAATGTTTGGAATAAATGCGTACATATTACATAACAAGAATAACAACACTACGTCAAAGCGATACCAATTTCTAAAGAAACTTAAGCCTTCCACTGGTTCGTGAGTATTTGCGCAATCGTAAAGATGTCATTCAGTTGCAAAGACTTATGCGCAAAAGAATCAGAGAGTTTTTAGTAGAACCTGATGAGGAGCCACCTGCAAGACTGTTCTACCAAAAAATATAGAAAAACTAATAATACTTTTCGGAGCTGTAGCAAATACATCTGCAGTGAGCATGCAATGTTGTACTGCCGATATTGCGCAGATGATAAGGATACTATGACTGATGTATGAAACTGATACATAGAGTATAATATTATTAGTCTACTAAAGATTTGATTAACATGTAACAAATTAGTTTATGTTATAGAAAAAACTTTGTTTTGTTAAAATATTATTACTTTAAGGCAGAGGTTGTCCATTTTGTAAATATTTTGTGACACTTTTATGAAAATGACATTAAAAAGATAGTTTCGTATCATGTTGTGTTTTTTCTACTCAAAAGCTATAACGATAATCGTATTATACAGATAGTACAACCACAAACCAAATTTATTTAACTTTTGTAATTATGGCGTGTTCTTATACGGGTCCTCTCGACCCAACCCTACTGTCGTTGTTGCATATTTTGACTGTGCTGACGCCGGGTTAAGTAAATGTTGCCTATGGCAAGTTCATAGATGGTGAGGCAGCTACATTACAAGAGTCATTAAATGTTTAATTTAAGACCCTTTGAAAAGCTCTTAACGAAACGCTATAATTTAAAATGAAAGGAGCGTGAAATTGTGTTTGCATTGTTCAATGAATTTACTAATAATGTTCTAACACAATGGCACTTCGTGCTAAGCGCTTTGCTAAGATATCTATCTACCTTACAATATGCTATTCCCAGTACATATCATATAACACCTAGTGAAAGTAAAATAAAAGATAAAGTGTCAGATACCCATGCCCACCGTGCATAGGATACGCCTTGTAACCACTAAATTGGGGATATTACATAAAAAATCTACGAAACGTAGTTAAAACCAGTAACTCCGCTTATTAAGTATATAATAAGCTTGTTGTAACTGAGTCCGGAGACTACTTTTAATTTATGTTTATATTATTTAAACAATGGTAATTATGTTAAGAAATACAACTTCGTTATCTAAGAACTTTTCCTTAGTACGTATATGATTTACATTTTTAACTTTAACACGAATTATAACTTTAAAAAGAAATTCTTAAAAACTGACTTGAATAGGTATTCAATTTTATTGTATTTTTTTTAATAAAAGTTATTTCAATTTGCTATGTTACATTTAGATATGTGTGTCAGTTAGATACAAATTAATAAATTCGAATGTGACAAATCATATAAATACGAAAAACTTATAAAAGAAAAGTTATTTTATGGCGAATTTCATAGAAATAATTATTATAAGTCTGTTCTTATTATTGCATTAGATAACAGTTTTTAGTCAGATGCAACTTAAAAATTTCAACTAAAAGAGACTTTCATAATTTTGACATAACCTACTGCTGCAGCATTTTATATTATATTATTTTAAGAGTAAGCATCAGAAATAAACGTGGGCAGCTTATCGACAAGTTTACATGGTGGCAGGTAACTCATTATTTTGTCTACGATCGGGTATTATGTTACATACAATGTTGTTAGATTTATTTATATGAAACATTATCATACAGACGATGACATTAAAAAACATAGATGTTAACACTTTATATTGACTTGTCGTCTAAAGTTTCCAAACCGCATTCAACCTTTTTGTAGGAACATATTATTTGCAATCAATTTTAAAATAAACGAGGAAAAATGTTTTAAAAGGAAATGCAAGTTTTTACGAATATGAGGGCACTTGGACACTAGATTTTTGGACAGTGACCGATGCGACGAGTCCCTGTCCAAGTTAGTGACCCACTACTTAGAACGACTTCTGCCCACACGCAAAATAACAAAGTACCTAGATAATAACAAATTTACTCAAAAAACTTAATTAACCTTGGTCTTACACTTCACAATATGTTACCAAGCATAATATGAGCAATATTTAGCTGCCTTCTGAAATACGACCACAATAGCCTATACCTAATATATAGACGCTTACGATGCCAGAGTGTCACTCACGGGATCCTAATCCCTTATATATTACAAGACACATCCATCTGCCCACCTAGCATTTCAAGTTTGTATATGACGGGCCCTAGCAAAAAAAAATTATATTGAGCAATAAGTTTTTAAGCAGTTTTGAATCTGATTCATTTACCATATTTTGTGTGTTTTTTTAAATATATTATTATTGCCCACCTAACATATATTTTTGCTACAGACCGATGAAACTTAAGTGGGCCGATAGATGTGTCCGGGAGTGTAGTTTTGGTGACCTTACTGCAGGAACACAACACTACGTTTGACGATTTGATTATGACTGTTAGCCTGCAGATGTGCGTTTCAATTCGATCGGAAATCCCCGTGAGTTCATGCTCTATAATACATCGAAACTTAATATTATAAATATGAAAGTGTGTCTGTTAACTCTTCACGCTTAAATCGCTAAGCCAACTTAGATGAAATTTGGTATAGAGATGAGATTGAGTCTATATCACAGAAATTATTTTAAATGGACGAAAAGGGGGGTGGAAGTTACACCCGCTAGTATTATATGTAGTAACAACAAAAGTGATTTCAATGACTGGTGGGCACCTGTCAAGTTTAACAAAATGTGCGGTGAGAAATGTCAAAATTATCCTCTATCACTTCACTACCTGCTAGTTCGGGTAGCACCATCCGACCTTTTCAAATATAGTTTTTAATGATAATACGAAAATGGACTGTGGAAGTTGAACCACTTTCACAGTGAGCGGTCTATAGGATCGGTGACCAATATTTATTTATCTCGAGCTGCTCCGTGTTTCGGAAACCATAGTGCAAATTCATTTATTAGTACCCGCCAATCGCACTGGGCCTGCGTGGTGGGTTACAGCCTAGCTATTCTCTCTATTTATTTAAAAAGGTAAGCTCTTTGTTCACATAGAGACGTTAAGGCTTGTCAAATTAATATTGTGTAATAATTTGGCTTTCGCAATCACATAACAGCACCAACTATTATCAAACTTAATTATTAATTGACGTCCTTCGGCAGGTTTAGGCACACAATATAAAATATTGCAATAGATGAAATTCATCCTAATAGGGTATTAGACAAGTTTTAGAAAACGATCTTACGTTATTTACTATTGTTTAAGGAGTACATAAAAAGTGTTTTTTTCTGTGTAATTCAGTAAAAAAAACTAAATTATAAATTTTTAAGTTGCCGTGAAAACCTTTCTCAGGACATTAAGGCTAAGGCGTCTCACTAGTGTGTGACGTCACACAACTGTCACTAAAATGTCAAACGATACAATGAAATGTCACTTTGGCCGGAAGTATACTAGCGTGTGACGTTATTTTAGTTTTGGCCAATCCCAGGCGATTTCGGTCACGTGACGTGAAAAAAATCACTTCTATTTAATGATTTTATAGAAAAGCTATTTATTATTTGTTCTTTCGGATTAGTCAAATAATTATATTAAATACAGATGCCAACGATTGGTACATTATTTTTTATACCCTCAAATAGCCAATTATGGTCATCATTTAATACTCACTAAACGATTTCAAGCGCACATGTTTTAACATTTGCTATAAAATAATATATACACTTATAATTATATTTTGATATCCTACCCAACCCTTTCACGTAAGAGAAAAATATGCGTTTGATAAATCAAGTTATTTTACAACTTAAAAACAAATACTAAAAATGATATAAATGTGTTCCATTACTGATTCAAGTCCCCCAAACTACTTTTTTGCAAAAATATTCAATGTACAGACACGCGAGCAGCCTTCATTGTGTGTTTCTATTGGACCTCCTTAAAATACATACGTATCGATTAATTCGTTTGTTTACTTATACCATATGCACCTCCATTACTTTAAATTTCAAAACCGGAAATTGTTTTGAGTATTAAGAAAAGGGCGGTGAACTATTTCCTATTGGTTTTAAATGGCCAAACTAATTACCGTCTTTCTTTGAAGACATTAACAGTGAAAGAGTTCGTAAACAAATTAGGTCTATTACTTACGTTCGTTGTCAGTTGTGTGGTCAGTGTGTGTACTTTTTCTTTGGCGTCTGCGAGTTCCCGTCTTAGTTTTCGCACCTGATCAATGCAAAACAAACCCAATAAGTATTTAAAAAAAAAAAACAGATTAATCAAACTCGACTTCTAGTCCATTTTTCACAAGAGAGACTATCAAATCCACTAAAAAAAAGTAAGGAATACTTCGGGGAAAATAACAAATACAAAATGCCGCAAGCGCCACAAGTGCGAGAGAGATAGCGAGCTGCACCCTCCAATCACTACTACTCTTACTCATATTGGTGCTTGCAATACAAGCTAATCAAGTTTTAAATTTGACTAATAATTTAAATTAATTAGACGTTTCTAAAGATAGCTGAAAATGCTACTTTATTTATTTATTTAAACTTTATTGCCACAATTACAAAAATGGACAAAAGGCGGACTTAACGCTAAAAGCATTCTCTGCCAGTCAACCTTTAGGCATAAAGAAATCCACGAATGCGGCTATAATAATAAAAAAAAGTGATTTACTTTAAACATACACCAGTAAAAGTAACTACATAAATATTTATTTAAAAATAAACCTAAATATACATGCATAGAATACATTTAAATATATTACTTATATAAATATTTATAATATATATATATATATATATATACATACACATACATAGACATAATTATTATTAACACCGTTTATAAAATATATTGATGATGAGACTGTGAAGGGAAATTGTGAGTTAAACTTAACGTTCTTAGCTTTCTAGGAGAAGTTCATGAACTTTCTTCTTAAAACTGCACCTAGTAGGTGACCTTCTAACGGAGTCAGGGAGGCTGTTCCAGAGTCGTGAAGATTGGAGGGCAAAGGAATCAGACATATAGCCAGAGTGAAAGAGAGGAAGAGATAGTGCAAGAGTATCAGTAGAACGAAGTTGAAGTTTATGTGAGTCACAAAGATATTGAAATTTGGATCGTAAGTATTCTGGAGAGTGAGGGTTGAACAGGATAGAATATAGAGTACACAGCATTCTCTGCTGCCTTCTTTGACGTATAGGAAGCCATCTAAGTTGAGATCTGAACGCCGATACGTGGTCAAATTTACGCAGGCAGAAGATGAAACGAATGACATTGTTGATGAGACGATCCAATTTGTTCAGAAGATCAGCATTCAGATCGGGATAGCAGACATCAGCATAATCAATGAGCGGGAATATGAGAGATGTTACAAGCAAAATTTTTGTGTTAATGGGGAGAAAATTCCTAAATCTGTTTAAAACACGAAGTGAGTAAATTACTTTGCTACTTACTTCGGCAATTTGTGTGTTCCAGCTAAGAGAAGAATCGATGTAAATGCCAAGATTTTTGACACTTGTGCTAAACGGAACAATCGTGCCCTCATACACGACAGGCTGGAGAGACCCATAATCAATTTTGGCAATTTGTTTAGAGCCACCTACGATAATGGCCTGACATTTTGATGGATTTACCTTAATTCCAAAATCGGCGGACCAAGCACTGATACGTTGCAAGTTATGGTTTAACGTTTCGATGGCCATATCAACATCCTCAGCCGACGTCTGAGTATAGATTTGTAGGTCATCAGCATAGAAATGGTAAAAGCAGCCAAGCGAGAAGGAAAGGAGGTTAATAAAAACAGAAAAAAGTAAAGGAGAAATTATCCCACCCTGGGGTACACCAGCAATTAAATCGTTCCAATTAGAAAGATTTTGCTCAATGCGAACCGCTTGTTGACGGCCACGAAGGTAAGAGGAGAACCAATCCAGTGACTTTGATGAGAAGTTAAGGGATTTAAGGATGGCGAGGAGAATATCGTGGTCAACCATGTTAAAAGCGTTGGAAAAGTCTATGAGTACTATGACTGTAACCAACTCTTTCTCCATGCCCATCCTGACATCTTCAGTAACTTTGAGCAGAGCCGTAGTAGTGCTGTGTCCAGGACGAAACCCAGACTGAAACGAAGTAAGAAGATTATTGGAAAATACGAAAGAGGATACTTGGTGATGAGCAACGGCTTCAAGAACTTTAGAAAGAAAGGGAAGGATGGAAATAGGCCTGTAGTTACTAAGTAGCTGAGGAGACGAGACTTTCGGCAGAGGAAGAACGAAAGCTTTACGCCAAGCTAGAGGAAAATCACCGTTGAGAAAGGAGTAGTTAATAATGTGTACAATATCTGGCAGTATATAATCTAGAATGTTGACTATCATTTCTCTGCTGACGTCATCCCATCCAACTGCTTTAGATTTGATAGACAGAATAATTTTGCGAATATCATCAATTGTCACTGGAGAAAAAGTAAAGGAATCAGAAAGAGATTGAGCTCTGGTAGTAATAGTATTGATAGCTTTATTCTTAATATGTGGGTCGAGAGAATTGGTTGTGGAAAAGTGATTATTGAAATCGTTAAGAGAGAAAGGATAGGAGTCAGGTTGCACAGAACAATTGCCCAAACCTAAAGAACGGAGAAACTTCCATACATTCGCCGAAGATGAGTTGCAGATATTTTCATGAAAATATTCTCGCTTTGCTGCCCTCACCATTCTGTTGCACCTATTACGAGCTGTCTTATATAAGGACCAGTTTTCCTCCGACCTGTCACGCTTGAAAGCACGTAATGCTCGATCTCGTCGCGTCATGGCTATACGGACACCTCGACTAATCCAAGGAGCGGGAGGTCGCTTAACTCTAACAGGCTTTAGCGGAGCATGGGCATCGTAAAGTTTGAGAACACATTGAGTTCATGACCAATTTATAATTCTGTCTGATCAATAAAATATTGAATTAAATAAAAGTAAGGGTTTTATTTACTTAACAAACTTTATTAACCAAAATGTTAAAATGGTGCAAGAGCCGAACTTAATGCTACAAGCATACTCTACCAGTCAACATTTGGGAAAAACGATAAACACAAACGGCTGTATAAAGCTACATATATATACATAAGTAAAACAGAATATATATGATGTAATAGATTAAACATACATATACACATAAGTACATACATACAAAATACAGATATATATATCTATTAGTATAACGATCATAATCTTTAATTTTGCAGCAGATAAGTAAAAACATTGCGTTCAAAATTTGAATTTACTAGGTGATGTACTGATAGAGTCGTGGAGGTCATTCCACAATCGTATATCCTGAAGAGTAAAAGGGTTGGACCAATAGCCTGAACGAAAAAGACAAGTACAGAGAGCTAATAAGTCAGAAGGAAGGAGAGGACGATCGTGACTATCATAGAGATTTAGTATCCGTGACAATCACAGAGATACTAAAACTTGCATTTTCATTCTCTGGACTGGTCCACCAGTTTTAAGTCGCTCAGAGAGCTATGGAAAGGGCTATGCTCGGAGTATCCCTGAAGGGCCGCATCAGAAATGATGTAATCCGACAGAGAACCAGAGTCACCGACTTAGCCCACCGAATTAGCAAACTGAAGTGGCAGTGGGCCGGTCACATTAGCCGCAGAACTGACTGCCGATGGAGCAGTAAAGTTCTTGAGTAGAGACCGCGACTCGGTAAACGTAGTGTGGGACGCCCTGAGACAAGATGGGATGATGACATTCGTAGGCTGGCTGAAGTGGGCTAGATGAGAGTGCCAGAAAATCGGGAGCAGTGGCGTGCATTAGGGGAGACCTATGTCCAGCAGTAGACAAGCATGGGTCGATGATGATGATGAAGATGAAATTCTCTGGAAAATGCGGATTATAAATGACAGAAAAAGAAAATACAGAGTGATCTTAACTACATGCGCTGGCGAATAGGAAGATCCAAGGTCCAATTTGAGAAGGCAAAAGATAAAAGAGTTCTAGATCTATTGATTGGACCTCCTCAATTTATTTAGAAAATCTGCGTTTAAATCAGGGTAGCGGACATCAGCCTGAGGCAACGACATGGATCCTACGAACGAAGGAGTGGAAGCTCCTAGCCGAGTGGACGACGTGACCGTTGAAATTTTTAGTACTTTTTATCTCTGTTGTGGGGGCACAGCCCTACCTGTCCTACCTTATAACCGGCCCCGAGTGGAAAATAAGAAACGTAAAGAGTAGAGTTACCGTAGTAGAGAAAGAGAGTAATCTTAGTTTTTATGAGGAGAAAATTACTGAAGTGATTAAGTGACTTAAACCTAAGTAGCAGATCAAAATCCATCTTGGGGATTTGCTTAAGTCCGCTTACTTCATTTGCCCGACATTTGGCAGAATTAACGGCAATTTCGAACTCAGCAGACCAAAAGCTTATATTGCATAGATCCCTATTCAGCTTAGATATGCCAGCATAGAAATGATAAAAACAGCTAAGCCACAAGGTAAGTAAATGTATGAATAAAAGAATAGACGAGGGGAAAGAATACCACCTTGTGGAGCACTATCAGCTAGGTTATTTTAGCTAGACAGTTCACGTTCCTTGCGCACTGCCTACTGGCGATCAGAAAGGTAAGATGAGAACCAATCCAATTCCAAAGAAGAAAAATAAAGTGATTACAGATCCGCAAGCAAATAATTATCCGTACCGTATTAATAGCATTGGAAAAGTCGATAAGGACTATAATGGTAACAAAATGATTCTCCATGCCAAGTTTTATATCCTCGGCTAATTTAGGCAGAGCAGTAGACGTACTATGCCCAGGTCGCAAGCCGGATTGAAAAGGAGTGAGTACTTGCCTTAAGTAGATAAAAGAAGACATTTGTTGGTGAGCAACAGCTAAGTATTTTGGAGGAGTTGAAGGATAGAAATCTGCCTAAATATGTTCATTTGCCTAGGAAGTTTTAAAAAGAGGGCTTAACGCTGAAGAAGAGGAAAGAAACCAATAATAAAGGAATATTTGATGATATGTCCGATAATAGGAAGAATAAACCGAGAACATTTACCATCATATCTTTACAAACGTCGTCGTATCCTACGGCTTTCGATTTTATGGATACGATAATCTTTCTAATTTCCTCATTTAAATAAATAAATAATAATAAATAAATAAATATTTCCGACACTCACACCAATTAGCCTAGCCCCAAAGTAAGCACTATAAGGCTTGTGTTATGGGATGCTAGGGTAACGGATAGAATCCATATACTGTACATATATAACTATATTTATATAAATACATATTAAACATCCATGACTGGAGTACAAATGCTCGTATTCATCACACAAACATCTGCCCCCACCGGGATTCGAACCCGGGACCTCTCGAGTCGGCGACAGCCATGAAACCCGGCGTACAAACCACTCGGCCACGGAGGTCGTCGACACTGGTGAAATAAAAGGGGGAATCAGAGTGAGTTTGAGTCATGGACGTTATTACATCAATTGTTTTAGACTTGGTGGTGGAGTCTAAGGGAGAAGTAACAGAGAAATAATTATTGAACTCATCAAGAGAAAAGAGGAAAGATTGAGATTAAAAAGAGCTTTTACCTAAGCCAAGGGAACGTAAAACTTCCAAATATTAGCTAAAGAACAGTTATACATATTATTATAAAAGTATTGACGCTTAGCTGTCCTTACTATTGCATTTCACCTATTGAGTGCAGATTTGCAGAGGCGCCAGTACTCTTAGCACGATCCATAATCGAATTCAAATAATTGAATGAGATCTAGATATACTTCTAGTCTAGTTTGGGAGTGTCAAATGTCCGTCGTGTACGTCCGTTACGGCGCTGCTGTTCAAGTTTTCATACAAATCTTGACAATGACATTTCGGACTCGCAAACTATTCGAATTCGATATTGGTTCGTGCTAGGGTTACAGTTCGCCTACGAGCTGTTACGCTCTTACGATATTAATTACTTGTTCAATTCGTTTTTTTTAACTATAAACTTCTACTAGGCAGTCTACAGCATGCCTTAGCATTGTAATTTTCAAATATACTCAACAACTTTATTAGTTTTTGCAGGTTCGTGATATATTAATCAACATTCTTTATTATAAAGATGATGTATTGTAATCACTGTTGTGGTAGTCTTTCTCTATAGTAAAATATTTAATAAACTGATTATATTTGTTTTACAAACCATAAGAAACTATAAATTATAATATATGAATTATAATAAATAAATAAAAAATGCAATCTAGATAGCTTTATAATGTATTTGCTATCGTTCGCCTTCAAATGAAATGTAACTCTAAGTTAATATAACATAAAGTGTAATTTACCTCATGCGCTTGCCTCTCTTCGGATCCCGCACCCGCGGCTAACGAAGATGCGGTGGACACCAACGAAGCTGTAGAACCGTGAACTGTTGGCAAAACAAAGATTTGTTAATAACCTACTGATCTGCCTTCGCTTCGCTTTGGTGAAAACTATAGTCTTTTTCTAGGGTGAAGACTACCCGGAGCAAATAACATGAAAGGAAGGGTATTAAGCCAGATGAATAATATCTCATGTGGCTTAATAATCTCCGTGGCCGAGTGGCATAGGCATACGGCGAGTTTCAAGGTGTCGCCTACTCGAGAGGTCCCGGGTTCGAATCGCGGTGGGAGCAAATGTTAGTACGACGAATACGAGTATTTGTACCTTGCTGATGGACGTTTCTACATATTTCAATATATAAAAAAAAATACTTGTATATATTACAGTATATGTATTCCATCCGTTACTCTCTATCCCATTACACAAGTGCTTACTTTGGGACTAGGCTTATTGGTGTGAGTGTAGGAAATATTTATTTATATATTTTATAATAAAGACTGCTTTGTATCATTATCATTCTAACACTTACCGTCATCATTTTTCTTAGGGTAATGGTGAGAATGTCTAGGCGTGTGAATTACGTTGCTAGGCTGATGCGTGGGGCTGAGGGCGGATCTCGGAGACGGCGACGGAGGCTCCGAAACACCATAATTTAAACCTAAAAAAAACATATTAAATATATATTTGTTTCTTAGGTTTTCACGCACATCACATTTCATTAAATAAAACTATAGACTTCAGAACTGACGAAACAGACCTGAAAAGGCAAAGGCGAAACGTCAATAAATAAATAAAGTTTCGTGCATTAACCCGACAAAACTACTTTTATTTAATATAAAATATACTCAAAATAGATTATAAACTCGGGCAAGTATAACTCGCGACAAACGAATCTAAAAAGACATTTTGTCCTTCTCGCACATCATTCTTGATGGGATATACGAGATGGAAAAAATTACCCGCGTTGTCATTTCGTTTCGTTTCTTTACTAAGCCTAAAGCTCAGATAAATGTACTACGGGCGTAGGTACCTTTACTAGTTTTTATTTCGGTTAATGCGTATTTCAAAAATAGCAACGATAAATCAATCGTCTTATAGACAGATGAAATAGTAAAAGGAATTAGTATGTTACCTTGGCCACCCGGTCCGTACTGCACCGGCAAACAGTAGTAAGGTTCATAATCACTCTCCGAGGACCGCTGCAGCATCGAGGGGTACAGTTTTTCAGATTTGGTGGACCTGCAATCGTATATATGGGTAAGAAAATATAAAAGTATAAATTATGAAACATCAAACTTTGCCATGTATCAAGTTTACGGATCACATAATATAAAATAATAGTGTTCTTATTGCAGTGTTAATTTCATCAAAATTTCAGCCAACAGCAATTTGCTTTTAGTCTCTTAAATCAATAATTCTAATCTAAATAATAATTCATAAAATTACCACTGTTTATTCAATAAAAATTTGGAAGATTCTATTTTCACTCTTATTACTACTGATTTAAAGTTCAGTTCCTATTACTATTCAAATAAAGATACCTTTATTAGTATTAGTCCAATAAACAGTTGGTTATGAATTATACTCGACTAAATTAATGCAATATGACAAAGTTTGACATTAAGGAACATCGACCAGAGTACATTACAACATGGCACAGTGATAATAGCAAAAAATCAAATACATCAAAAGCCTGATTTCATTGACTATAAAATTTAACAGTAACAGCACATTCTGAGTCATTATTATATTTTATTAACAAACTTTTGAATTAAGAAAAACATAACCATGTGATTTATGAGTGTGACAAAATATAGAAAATATTACAGTTTCTGTGAAAAATTCTAAACTGAGCGTTAGCGCGTTCGTAACAGAATTGAATCCTGCTACCTACAAAGTGTGATTATCTAAGACGTCAATTAGGAAACAGAAAAATACTTGAAACATAATCATTGTTATGAGTAATGTAGAAATAATAAATGTAAGCCGTGCCATGTTAAAATCATGCATTCGTAATAAATAAGATGTAATGAAGCGTGCCACCTCGAAGCCAAATCAAGTACAAACTTCAATCGTGTGTGGCATACCTTGGGAAAGTCCTATCTCTGAGGTAGCTAAAAATGCAATCAAGTGTCATTGATTTTGTTCCTTAAGGCTTAGTTACATTTTGACGTAACAACATTTAGAGATATAGATACTCTATATGTGTGAATGTGATAGAACTGCATGGTTGATGGTTGAAAGAATTTGTTTGGTTCATGACAGTTCCTAATAACCTTTCAATGGTAATACCAAATTACCAGAAAATATCACCATTTTTTTATTATTTAATAATAACGTTCACATAGTAACTTAACAATTTTAAGGCTAAGTGGAGATAGGATGTTAGGAACAGTCGTTAATGACAACTGAAGATATAATCGAATGTGTGCAATCTATCTGAGGATACATGATAAACACACCTTGGTACTTTGGGTATTAGGTATAATCATTAATTTAATTTCTAACTGGTATTGAATTAAATTCGATATTTTTGGTCTTATTTTTTACGTAGTTCATTAAATGTAATATTTTGTTTGTCTTAACATTATGTTTTGAACAATCAGTTCTTTTATAAAATACTATCTGTCGTTAACTACTGAAAAAAAAACTCTATGTGTCGGGAGCTTCCCACCAGAGCCCGTTCAAGAGTGTTTCACTAAATCGTTGTTGTGTGTGAGTTCAGAAACATGTTTTGGTTCAAGTAAAGTAATAGTATGCCCGAGTACCTACCCAGACCTGGCACTGATGGTTAAAGATGATAAAAAAAAGACTTGTGTAACTTCTTAGATAGACAATAGAAATAACGGTGCTTTCAATACCGCTAGCGCTAGCTGCCGGTAAATTTTGAACCTACCTAATAACTGCTGCTCCTGTTAACCCTGGAGCCCTATTCCCGGTGCATGACCGGCTTATTGTGAATGTGTGAGCTGCGGTGTGAGTAAGAAGAACATTATGTTCTAGTTCGAGTAAGTAATGATAAAAATCTGAACCAACAGAAACCAAAACAATGCTGTTTATAGATGACAAAATAAAGATGTAAAACAGATTTTCATATTTTTTTACCACCCTATTTATTATACAGTTAGGTATCGTAAAATCGTCAGCTCCTGTTAAAATGAGCTCATTGTGAGTGTAAGTGAGCTGCGGTGTGAGTAACGGGAACTTATGTTCTCGTTCGTGTAAATAATATAATAATAATAGAGAATACCTACTGAAACCTAACAATGCTGTTTACAGGTGACAAAATAGATTTTTATTCTTTCTGGTTGCCCAATAGAGAGAAAGGTGTTGTGAAATAGTCAGCTGCCGATCAATTTTGAACCTACCTAATACTGTTGCTCCTGTTAAGCCTGGAGCCCTGTTCCCGGTGCATGATGAGCTTATTGTGAGTGAGTGAGCTGCGGTGTGAGTTAGGGGAGGTGTGGTTGTGCTGCGCTGAATGCAGCGAACTGAGAGATTCCATCGATTCGCCTTCGGAAAGTCGCCCGCTCGCCGAATATGTGTTGCTGCAAAGGGAAACGTGATGAAGCATGCTGGCCAGCTGTAGTTTCACTTCTTATTCATTTATAATAGTCTACAGTTATCGATTGCCATAAGAGTGAGAATTAACTCCTAGATATACCCAGTATAGTCTACATATTTTTTTAGGGTTCCGTACCTAATAAGGAAAAACAAAATCCTTATTGGATCACCTAACAAAGTGACGGATAACAGTCCAACCCGTCTGTCCGTCAAGACCCTTTATCTCAGGAATGCGTGGAGGTATCGAATTGAAAATTAAACTATAAATTATAGTCTATAATACAAACATAACATCTTCAAACTCAAACTCTTTACATATTTGCAAACTACTACGTGTTACTTATTGTTATTATTAAACTTATAAAGTAAATTTATAAGCTAACGAAAAAAGATATGGCCGATTATGTTGCGTACCTACAAAGTACGTAACCATCCGTGAGTCCGACTCACACTTGTACGGGGTTTTTTTGGAATAGACAATTCTCACATCAAGAACCTCATAATAATTATAATAGGCTAGTTGACTCATGTCGAATTGTATTAAATAAATGTTTATTTCTTAAAGTATTAGGTCTAAGGAACCTAAATATATCGATTAAAGCTAAGATAAAAGCATAAGATTGCTGTAGAAATTTAATTTTAAAAAATATTTTTTAGTCTATACTTTTTAAACACTAAAAACGCTGTTCGCCACATCCGCCATGATTGTGACGTCTCTTATGGTAAACAACTAAATGTCATTCGCGTGTTACTGTGGGTGGATTCTTTCGTCTGACTAAATTTATCTTAAAACACTTTTAACTTTAGAAAAGTTTACCTTTACTGTTTTTTTAAAAAAACTAATTATGGATGCCGGCTTTGTGAAAGCAGAAAGCACAAATCTGCCAAGAATTGACGCATTGATGGTTGGTGAATTTATTGCACTAAACCCCGATTTCTGCTCTGCGGAGCAGAGAAACGACAAGGCATCTATGTAAGTACAGTGCATTTAGTATTACAATGTAGTAATAAACATAAAACTGATACAACATATGAATAAGTGTAATAAAGTTGCGTAGGTTAATTTCTTTCGGCACTTTAATCCACAACTTTCCTGGAGTCTTCAAGGATGTGTTTTTATATTCTCGTACAATACAATAATGATAATTACTTTATTTTTCGTGATATTTATTAGAAATCATGTTTTTTTTATAATAAAGTCAGTTCAGTTATTTTCTACGTGCTTACGAGTTTTTGTTTACTGTAGTTAACATCATAGTATAGATAATCAATAGACTAAAATGGCCGACAGCGTTTTTGTATGTCCATGAAAAATCTATTTTAAAATTAAAGATTTGTAGCTTCTTAGGTCTCAAAAAAATACAATACATTTTTTTTCGGTCTAATAGAACATTTATTAACCATTTAAAACCTTTTTCCAAAAAGGGTCAACTAGCCTATTATCAAAGTATTAATTTAATTATTTTATCTTTTGTCTACAGTCTATAAGAGTTATAGTTTGGTAGAGCGACATTGCGAAAGTATATTTCCGAATACTGTCGCCACTACAGCTTGTAGAATTTGTTTGTTGATAAAAAACAAAGTTTAAATAATTGCGCGATTAATCATAATGAACGAGCAAATATTTAATAGACACTACTATTTCATATGCAATTAGAAAATCGATTTGCTTTCTAAACGACATCATTATTCCCAATAACTAGCCATAATATTGTAGTTGCGATTACATATTTGTGATATTTGAATTATAAAATTATCACAGTTGCTATTTGACTTAGAACGATGGCAAAGTTCATTTATCGTCGTACACTACAACTGGCCACTTCGGAAACAGGATTGCGAAGCAAGAGATTATGACAATCAGTTACATAACAGGTTAAGTAGTACTCAAGTAAAAACACAAAAGCACAGTAAGGAATATGATGACAAGGGTGATGATTATGATAATGCTAATGACAGTCACTGTACAACACAGATTGTATGGAGCATCAAGTTATTAAATATATCAAAAACTTGAGAATTACTCCTATAGACCCATAAATGCTAGGAACAAAAGCCAAGGATCAAGATATTATTTCAACAAGAAAGTAACTTTATATATACATAAAACTTTTGTTCACCAGCTTCATCAGAGCAAAAACTCTAGAATCCAGGCGACACTTCATATTTATCTATTTTGTGTAGCATACCTGTGCCTTAGCCAAGGAGCGTAGGGTATCCCATAGTCGGATTTCACTTCAGAGTATGTTTGCGTATCAGAAAGGCTTCCGTCACTGATCTTGATCCCACCTCTTTGCGCGACTCTGAAACGAAATGCAATACCAAATAATACATACTCTTTTATAATTAGCATATTTGAGTGCATAAAATAATCACATTACCTAAAAATTACATGACTTAATTATTATTATTTTTAATGAATCATTTCAATAATGTATACCAAATGTACCACCTATGGCGTTTGTGATATTACTAGTTTTGTCAGAAACATTCCCATGGTGCTGGCATGACTTATCTTTGAAATATTTACAAAGATAACATTTTTATTTACATTTATTTAAAGAGCAGTGCCTATGTAAATAAATGCCTATTCCCTATATTTATACAGTTCTTTTACTATATTCTAGTCCAAGATACCAGCAGCATAGTTTAGAAAAAAAAAACAAGAGAAACTTCATTCCTAAAAATTATCAAATACAATAATAATAATAAAATCATACTATACCTAAGCTTGTGGATCATTTTGAGTACAATAGCAATGTATGACAATCACAAGACACAAACACAACATACAACTATGTCATGTCATTCATTGAAAGACGTCTAAACACTCCAAATACTTGTATACAGTGAGCTCTATTTATTAATTAATGACTACCTCGCTCATCAAGGCAGGGACGTATCTGGTATGGTATGATAATGACTACGCACGTAATGCACCGATCTCTCGTTTACCACAAGTTTATAATTCTACATTTAATGAAATTGATTTGTTTACTAACAGTAAAAATACTACCAAAAAACAAGCAATAAAAATTCTTAAAATAAAAGGGTATACATAAATAAAATAATGATGGTTTGTGAAAGATAATGCTTTGATTAAACAAAATTAATAATAAAATAAACAAAAAAAGTATAACTACAAGAATGAGACAAAAACACCTAAAATTAAGGACATATTATATTTTAGAACTGTACTGTGTTGAATTTAATCTCCATAACAGGAATGCTTACTTTGGTGGTGGAGCAATGTTTACGATTCTTTCCAACACATTATTTATTTATTTTATATAAGTTACATTTGATTATTTACATTGTTTAATTTATTTAAGTATAAGATTAGTTTTGCAAAAACCTTAATGACATTTGAAGGGTATCTTTGATCCCAATGTCTGCGAACAAAGGCAAGTAGATTTTTTTTTGTCTTCTTAGATTTTCGATTAAATTGAATATCATAGTTATGATTTTATTTATTTTTTAAGCATTTAACTGCTAGATGTTTAAATCTAAAGAAAAGTTCACTAGAAAAAAATCCACGCGGACCAGGCAGCGGACGGGACTCGAACCCGCATCCTTCGCTATCCGGGCGAATGCACTGACCATTATGCTACCACGGCCCTATTAGCCGCGTCGAAATTTTTCTAGCTTTAAGCTGCAAGGCAGCGCCATCTCTTCGCATTGTAGGTAACCCACAATGTCAAATGAATACTTTTTCAAGTATTAAACATTTGAAAGAAGAAATAGCAATTATAGTTATGATTTTATTTATTTTTAAAGCATTTAACTGCTAGATGTTTAAATCTAAAGAAAAGTTTACTAGAAAAAAATCCACGCGGACCAGGCAGCGGACGGGACTCGAACCACGCTAGACTGTTTTTTCTAGTAAACTTTTCTTTAGATTGAATATCATAGTTAAAGTTCTTTAAAAACAATTTCATGAGTTACATCTGCCTAAACAAATAATTATGTATTTAGAGGAAACCTGTAATTAGCTTTACTTTTAGATTATACTTTAGACCCATGTGGGTATGCATATATACTTTGTAACGCAGTTGGTTTCTAAATAAATTTAAAAAAAAAGTATTTTTGAGATATTTTAAAATCGCATTTTATATAGATAAGTTTTATAAAGATAAGCCAACAACTAAGTAGTTGGCAAATTATCTTAGGCAAGTTCAATAAAATAATATTTAAATTTCCCCCTTAGTGCTAACCTGGAGCAAGAAGAGAAGAACTTCATTGGTTGAAAATGAAAATAAATGATCTACATAAGCATCACTATAAATAAAAAAATGTTTTAGTTTATCTGTTAAAAAGACTCTTAAAAGTGCAATGTCCATTCTATTCTGTCACACATTGTTACTAGAAATTTTGAGGAGCATTGCTGTATTATTATAAGTTTCATTCACTTAAATATTTAGATTAACCTTATTCCAAATCTCTTAACTTACTACACATCTCGAACCTTTATGAAGTTGAACTTATAGTTTCCAAAGAAAATGTAAATAGAAAATATTTTATGTTATAGTTTCACTTTATTTCATTACAGTTTATATACACACCCAGACACATCTATCGGCCCACTTAGTATTATAAGGTATAAAGGTCTATAGCAAAAATATATGTTAGGTAGAGCAATAATAATATATTTTTAAAAACACATGATATTTTTCATGGTTTATGAATTAGTTTAAAACTGCATAAAAACCTTTTGCTAAATATAACATTTCTTTTTAGTTTGCGACTGTCAAAACTTAAAATGCTACATGGGCCAATAGTATGTCCGTGAGAATAGTATTTGGTTACTAATTAATTAAAAATTCTTAATAAAAAGAAGCTAAAGTACTTTCTAGTTTTGATTAGATGATTTATTTAGAAAATTAGTTATATTTAATTATCACAAGAAAGTTGAGTAATATTTATATTTGGAATACACAAGAGTTTCTACTTTACAGGGATATATAATTTACTCAATGACACAAAGTATTGATACAGCAGTGTTTGAGTCATACCACAAATAAGAAAATTAAGTACTCATAGTGATGAGTGCTACAATAAAGTGTTGGGCCTGGTTTCAGACAAGTTCTTATTAAATCTTTAATAACACTCTTCCAACATAATTTCATTTAAATGCCTAAATAACCAATTTGTACTATCAACCCTGATACATAGTAAGGATGCAGACCATTAAACATACTTACTCAACATTTAATTTACAAATATGATTGGATACCTATCAAAATTGAATATAACAACAATTTCTAATATTTATCCTTGGAATAGAAGTAAATAATTTAACTTGTAGCTGTATTTGCTTCTCACCTGTGATGATGGAACAGTGCAGCAAACTCATGTGTGCCGGGTTTTGGCAAGGATTGGGATCCCAAAAGTCTTTCTCGCACCGATGCTGATAATTGAGCTGCAGCAGTGCCCCCCAATGAATACGATTTTGGTCCGATTCCATTTTCTGTAAATGGTCAATGAAAAGTTACGTTTCTAAATCAATACACAGTTGAAAGTTTCAAATCAGGCTGAATAAGTAATGGGATAAGAATAGGACTTATCACAACTTGGTTAAGCAAAACAATAAGAAACTTACTGTGAATTTGTAGATCTTGAGTACATGTTTGCGTGCCACCCGAAACTTTAACCTTAGTTCGGGGCACCGCAGAAACTTGAGCCGTCCTTCCACCTAAAACCACAAAATTATAAGATTCATGGAATACGAACTTAGCTTGTGAATTATATTATCTTTATTAAATTTAAAAATAATTTGCATTGCAAATTTGTTTGAGTAGTAGTTTAATTTCGTCCATTGGGACAGGCGAAGGTACTAAGCCATACTGCCAATCATAGTTTTAATTCAGTCATATAATTAGGCAAGGCCAAATCTGTTATTTTGCAAATTTGTTTGAATTGCCACAGAATTAGCGCGTATCTTTTACTTTTTAATTTTTCGTTGACTTTACTCTTTTTAAATACTTCCGTTTGTAGACGAACGAAATCTTGTTCATACCGCCAAATTCAAGATAGGCATAAAACTTAACCATTCAGTTTCTTAGATATTACCAATATATGCCCTAAGTTTAGATCATATGGCGTGCTTTGTGGTCACTTATTTAAATAAACATCACATACTGTTTGCCATTTAATTAACTCCGTGCTCTGTCTGTGTGTGAAGTACCCTTATGGTATCATTATCAATGTATTATCATCAATGTATTGATGTCCCCACTACAGGCGCTTACCAATGCATTCTATTTAAACGGAATAGAGATTGGGTCACATCTTAAAACACTACTCAGGCCCAAGGTGAATTGCTGTTTTCTCATAATATATAGGTAACGTTACCGTTATAGCACATAGTGGTTATCACTATACGTAAATTAGAGCTAGTGGAACTAGCAATAACTACCGGTCAGTTATTAGGATGGGGGCTAACATTCAAAAAGTGTCCGAAGCCAGTCCGTGCTTTGTAACGCATATTAAGCCGGTGATGCCGGCTGATCGTTACCAAACAACAATTCACCTTGGGCCCGAGTGGAAAAGCAAAATCGCTTATACGCTACTTTAGTACTGCTTCAAAATTAACATTAAATAAAAACTAAAATTAAGTTTATTTTCTAGCAACATCAAAGTGGCGTATAAGCGATTATGCTTTTCCACTGTCGATACCTATGTACTTACAAGTATTGCACTGAAACTTACTATGACCGTGAGGTGGAGGTCCATTAGCCTGTGGTGACGGTTGCTGTACTCCGTTTTGTCGTTTCACATAGCCAAAGTTTTGCGGAACTTTAGCTTTACTAGAACAACTGCTTCCATTCCCACCACTCGACACGCTTGACGGTCGCGAAGACGCACCGCTGGGAGACTGCAGCTGCAAACAATTAATATTGATGTATTCGAGTTCGAGTTGTTTGCTTGCGAGCTATGTAGGTTTAAGAATCAAAGTTTATTGTGACATAGCAGTTATAACTTATAACATTAATAAAGTGAATCAAATACTTAGGAGATGAAACATACTTGCGATCCCCCGGTCCTTGAAGAATGTTGATTGCCAGAGTTGGCCACTGGGTACTGCCAACAATAAAAAATAATTAAAAACATATTTTTTTGTAATCATTATAATAATTTTTGAAGTAGTTAACGCTGAACGGTAAGTCCTACTTTTGATTACAAAAGTTGCACAACGAAGCTTCTTTAAATGTACAATAGCATGCGTTAAATTCACGGAACAAGTCTACCTGGGGATGCGGAGCAATGCCGAGCTGCTGTGCAGCAGTGAGCTTCTCCCGTTTATGGTGTTGCGGAGAGTGATGCCCAGTACGTCTCTCTCCTTTACGACCATGTGACGGACTTGGCGGCGCTTGCGCAGGTACATTCTGAAGGAAGACGACGGACATTTAAATATTTATTAGTTCACCGGTTCATTGTTGTATATCTGTAAAATAGACTGCCAAGTAATAGGTACAAAGTATGTTTGCAAAACAGAAAAATAAAATAAAAGATCAAAAGAAATTCGAGCCGTGAAATTGTACATAATATATTAAGGTAGTAGTGTAAGATCCCGCCGCTGGATTCCGCAGGCATATATATTTTTTATGAATTGTGAGTCTGCAATGCACTTGTGATAGGTTGTCTAAAAAGTAACCGCTAATACCTTTCATAAAATTAAGTGAATTCATTTATTTAAGTAAATTGAAAAGTATGTTTTTTGAAGTGAAAACTTCTTTAGAGGCGTTGTACACTTTTTTGTAATGGGTAAAAAATGTTAAACTCGATTCAGGACACGTAGTCTGATCGCATCAGGACACGTGACCGTATCGAAGATTCGTAAGACGAAAACAATAAAATTAGAAAGATTGTTGACTTTCAGTATAATGGACGAAACATAGTAATATTTTAATTTATCGTATTATAATAAGTCTCTATCTAGGTCGTTTAGGTGGCAGCTTTATTGCAAAGAAAATGCATTTTTTTTTTTTCTGAGAGATAAACTTTTTAATGTAATATAAATTGTCATACTTGTGTACGATAGCGAAATAAATAAATATTGTAGTCTACCACATAAATGATAGTACTTTTATACTGATAATTAAAGCAATTCGTGCAAAATTATTTCCTAAACATTCCAAAATATCAAAAATGCACAAAGTTAATATTCAAGTTTTCACTTCTGCCGGCAGTCCCGGAGTGCAACCCGTCGTTTTCTTTTATAATATTTACGTCATGTGACGAATTCGAAAAGCAATGATTGCAATAAATAAATGGAAGTCACTCAATTTAAACAAAGAAAAATACGACTTTTTTTAGGCAACCCGCCACTAATGCAATGTTAACTCACTATAATCATTTTTAAATTCAGTTTCATTAAAAACAGATGGTTGCAGAATCGAGCTTCGCGGTGGGATCCTGGACTGTATGGGTAACTACGAAAAAGACTACCAAAGGCGGAGTCCCCACCCCAGGCGAGTCGGTGTATTTCTTCCACGTGGTATCTTGACGCGGTGGTTGTCTGTCAGTTTGCTGTCCGCAGTCAGCTTTGCTGCGTGATCGACCCACCACTCGGTACACCACACCGCTGCCACCCTCCATTCCTCTATTGCGGCCTCCACCACGTCTGAGGGGTAAAATATATTCTTAAGTACGTAGGTACATTTGAAATGTTCTATTGGTTTCAGGTAGGTAGGTATTTTTGTTAATATGAAATGTGCCTCCCACAGTCCCACCCCACACACTTTTCCAGCGAAATGCTTGTTTCTGGAATTACCTTCGTAAAAAATCTCTAAAATACATCATTGGAGTGGACGGTTGATGACATTGGCAAATAATAAAATAAGAATTGGCAGTAAGCGGAGTCTTTAGCTTTTTCACTACATCCATCATGGATTTGACCAATGGATATTATGAGTTTCTTAGATTGTTTTATTCTACAAATCCAAATTTCGTTGATTTATTTATCAAACTATGATGATTATTACTTTACCTTTTCCTAGCTTAGGTAAGTTTCAGGTAACTATAAAAACTTCTTATTATACTTTTTATATATGTAAGTTAAAAGAACAGATTGTTTTTTCTATACAATATTAGAACAGTGCGGACCAATAACCAGGTTTCCTTTGCAGCTTACAAAAAAAGTAAAAAACATACACCTAAATCTAGCTACTTCTACTCCAACGTTTTAAAAATAAACGCCATAAAGTAAACGCTAGTGCTAATCACGTTACTAGGTAGGTAGCTTTTTAGTTAAGAGCTTTAATATTTTTCTTGGCGTCGGTATAATAATTAAGTAAACCGAGCAGGTTTCATCGGACATTTCTTTTTTATTCCTAAGCCTTTCCGTACAGGAGCTTTGTTCGCTAACACTGACTCATTAGGGGGATTAGCCGACCCTATTCTAACTGAGCTATTTAACATAATCCGACACAAGTTAGAATTAGAGACACTTGACTTCGATATTTAGCAAAGAATGTTATGGTTTATGATATTGTCTATTTTTTTTTGCTTTCAAATCGTTAATCATTTATGAAGCCCTTAAATTCTAGTGTTGAGAGTCGATTAATAAAGGCCTGATTGACCTTCTTCGTAGTACAACTACTATAAAATCAATATTAATTCTGATATGATGGATGTTTCGTAATGTTACGATACGATAAACCACCTATTTAGCAGATAATAATACTTTGGACAATGTATTACCATGTCAAGGTGTTGTTAAAAGCGGACGCGAGCAGAGGGACGTTTAAGAAATAAGTATTTGAAAAAATTATTGCCTTCACGTATAGGCAAATACCGTGCGATAGGGTCAACAGTAGCTAATGCTGAAAATAGTTTTTTTATAAATTACAAAATGCGAGTTTTGGCTCTCCACGGTTATATCCACGAAAATTAGATATAATATGTAAAAGAAATTTTACCCATAGAATAATAAAGTAGTTGTACCAGGCCTCTCCGTTTTTCTTTTTTAGAGACGGTTTTAGTGGTGATACAAATAGTTTATTTTTGTTTTTTTAGGGCTTCATGCACCATTATGCGTTATGCACCGCCAACTTGATAGTTCAAATATAGGAATCGCCTCTAACATAATTTAATAAACTTCACGCTAATTTCACGTTAAGTATATTTAGATATGATCTACGTTATGTGACAGTTATGTACATATTTACGGTCCTATAAATCAATAAGTATCTATATTTTTTTTAATGCTTCCACTAGAAATTAAAATAAAATGGGAATGGCTATTCACCACCTGTAGAAAAGTTATTGTGTTTATGACTATCTACAATCTACAACAAAGCTAACAAAAAAGTACCTGATAGCTTTTCTATTATCAGTACATACCTTCAATTAAATACTCATTAAGATTCTATTTATAATAGATAAACTAACCCTATATCCGAAAATACAAAAGTATCAGAACAGAAATGTTTTAAAAACACAAAGGATGTAATTATAAATTAACTGCTGGGTCAGATTTAACGCTGCGGAAGAACGAGTGCATTCATGAACGGTAATCACTTATTAGTGCGCCATACTCAAAGAAACTTCAGTGATAAATATAGCACACTCGTGTTAAGGTTGCATTATAGAATTAAGTACCTATGTTGGTAATTAATTACAATTCATAAGACCGGGGTTCTCCTAAGCATATTGTGTTAAATGTGTGTGTTAGTCTTGGATGAATGAGGACTTACTAAAATTAAAATATCTTGTTGATGATGAACAAATAAGCAGCTAGAGCAAGCAACTTTTTTAATGGCTGTTCATCGGTTGGGCGACCAAAAATATTAAGGCGTTGACGGCTGTGTCCCAAAAGTGGGGATATAAGGCTAAATGGTGATGACAAGATTATAAAGCGAGCAAAAGTTCTATTTATTTTCAATTGAAGGTTATTCAAATCGGTCGAAATGGATCCTGAGAACAGATTTTCAATACGACTGGCCTTGGGTTCTAGAAGATTTTTCTGATAGGTATAATATACTTATATGAGTACTTCCTCAATATATCTTGAATAACATAATAAAGTTATAATTTGTATAAAAAATCCATCAATATGCAGGAACAAATGAATTTTTATTTATTCAGATAAGTGTAAACTACTCTTACTCCTGAGACTTAAAGAAGGAACGGCAGGAAAATTGCATCTCATGTACTTACATACAAGGCAGGTTAAGTAAACAGTAAAGTTGGAGATTACATTCGCAACCTAGGCTTTGCGGCAAACACCGCAGTGCCCTACTTTATCGTGTCTCAGCAAGATGCAGCAATTTATCAAGCATTCCTTTTATTGGAGCAATTATGTGACCGGATGCAAACGAAGAGCCGGGAATGCCGACATAATCGCATCTGGAATTCGGACGCTAAACATTAGACTACCGTTATTTTTGTCTCTTTCGAATCACATGTAAAGGTAAAATTGTTGGTTCTCAATAGTTCTGGTCTATTACTATCGTACCATATAAACCTACTTAAAATGCTCAAAACAGTTATAATTCATAAAGAAAATCCACATTTTCATAACCGCAATAAAATTTTAATTTTAAGCTCTTCAAGTTTCCTTAAATTTCGCCCCTTTCTTATATTAGATGGCGTCTATAAGATTGTCTACATATTATAGCCAAGGCAGAAGGAAGGGCAACCTCGCTTTCGATGTATGCTATAGGCACCTACATACCAAAGCCACAGTAATATGTACTTTGGGGTTTATAGTTGAACCGTAATCGGAAGGTGCGTGAATTCCACCCCCGTCTGACTGTTTTGTCATTTGAAACATTGGCGTCTTAATGAAACCTCCAGCCCGAAGCCTCTCGCTAATGATGACGGATCCGTTGAAAGGAAAGACTCCTACCATCTCATTATCTGCGAACTGAGCAGCCCCTCGTTATTGTCTCCTTCGCACCGCCATTATTTTGTAGAAATGGTGAGTGCAAGACGTTATCGTATTTTCGGAGAAAACATTAGATTTAATTATAATTTAAAATGGGGGTGGCATTGTTTCTGAAATTTTATTAATTAATATCAATTATTGTAATCAATCAACTTGCTGGGTATCAAGAAATCGACAACATTACTTAATATGGCGAAACTAACAATATAATGAAGAGTCTTGAGAGAAATATTTTTTGTCTTGAAGTCAGTACGAGTATATATATAGATTTTGTTTGTCATTGAATACGCGACACTCGTTGAAAACAAGATGCTACAGGTGGGTCCGGAACTACTGTGCCCATTGATAAATTTTTGATACTTTCTTCGACGAAAAGATTCATTGCCATTTCATAGGTCAACAAAGTTATGAACTTTATAAATACTTAAATTAGTACTATGATAAGTCTCAGGTCTCAGCTTTGCAAAACAGAAAGCAAAACTTTTGCATAAGACGTTTCGTTGCAGAGCAACAGCGAACAACCAGACGTATTTCCTGTCTTGGAGGTTGTTATCATACTTTAGGCAATATCGACGCTCCGGTCATAAGTAAATTTAGTCCGTTTACTACTTATAGTAGAATTTGACGTACAACTTCTCTAAAGGCTGTCATCAGTTCTCATCTAATGCAAAATATATTTCATTTTACGCTTCAGTTTAATAGGTAAGGTACACAATAATAAAATTAAACAAAATATTTATACAATAACTATTTTCTTTTTGTAACTATCATGAAGTAAGAAGTTTTAAAACTTTCCAAAAAGAATAAACTTTCTAAAAATGCATTGATAGCATTGGCAATCATTGGTAATATGATATGTTATGTTTAAAAATACCCAGATCAAATGCAATCGTTGGTTGTGACCCGAATAGTTTTGGAATCTCATTCAATATTTATACACAGAACAATACTCTATTCTCTAGCCAGATAATGATAACTAATGAATAAATCATTCAACATTTAAACAGGTCATCTTATCTCGTACAGAGCGATACCTACCTATACGTATTATAAGTTGAGTACATCCTAATATAATTTTTTGTCATGTTATTGAAATAAAAAGGACCACGCCTTATTGTAACTAATTGAGTTGAACTAGCAAAAAATTTAATTATTCCATCTTGTTTACGCTTTTATACGAGCACACTATTTCTGCACCACAAAAAATAACTTATAAATATCTTGTCAATTGAATTACTTAACTTTCGAAATAGAGCTTTCTTAGAGCTTAGTAAATCTGAAAAAATTTTGAAATATGAGCTTTCCACCCGCGATTTCATCGAAAACAACTTCTTTTTTCACTTTCTTTGAAACCTCTAGGGTAAGACAAAGAAGGCCGCCAAGGGCCCTAAAATACCCAAGCCGCCCAAGACCTTGGCGGTGGTGGTGGCTTGAGAGCCACCTATAAGGACGCCCTGGCCAAAGCCAAGGCGTCCGTAAACATGGAGGAGCTGGGCATCGGCCCGTCGAAGTTCCGGACGACGGTGACGGGAGCGAGAATCATAGAGCTCCCGTCCGGAACGACGACTGCCCAGGCCGATGCATTGGCGGCCAAGGTGGGTGAGGCCCTTGGCGAGGCCGCCAAGGTGACCCGCCCTACAAAATCGGCGGATATCCGGGTGTCGGGTCTCGATGACACCGTGACACCCGAGGAAGTCCGCGCGGCCCTGGCCCAAAAAGCCGGCTGCCCCCCC